GTAGCACTTAGTTTTGCCTCATCTTCATTCCTCTCACCATCTGTTAGCAGCACTTTTACTCAAGGAAATTAAGATCAAAGCCTATGGTTGTTAAAAGTCCAAACCAACCTCTTACCCTCTAAACCAACTTTTTCAAACAAAATTCCAAACTGTTTGATATCCTGGTTAAAATTGGGTTATGATATGAAACTATTTAAAATGAGTAACCATAGTAACACAATGAGAGAAAAGGATGAGAAATCACCTTAAAAGACAAGAATGCACAAATGGAGAAACAGGGAATTATAACATAAAGTTCACATCTAACCAGCTTATAATTGATAAGATCTGAAAATATATACATTTAGAAATACTAAAAAAACGAATTTCTATGTTTTACAATGACCAAATGAATAAATAGACAATCAATTTACCTTTTAAAAACAACCACTCCCAAAAGGATAGTTCCCATTTCCAAAGTTGAAGTGCTTGCAATCTATTAACCTATAAAAAAATATAAAAGTGGATTTATTAGTTAGAAAAACAAAGCTGCCTCACAAATTTATAGATTTGAAATTCAGCAGTGATGAAAATGACTTATGCTCATCAAATCATAAAAATGATACACACAATAAGACAAATATTAAAGTTCATTTAAACAATCCTTCAACTATATATAATCTTGTAAGAACTTAAATAAAATCAGAATGCATGGATGCAAGCAAGACGTGTGAGGAATATTGTAACTATAGGATATCACCTCAAATTTGCCTTGTAGCTATAAAAAATTTTCAATTTTCTCCTGATGTGCAATGCCAAATGACACTTGAAATAACAAAGATAATTTGTAGCAAATCGGGCAAGGCCTCAATGCAGAATTGACATCTATTCCGAAGAAAGGGGAATTGGTACACAAATTTCTAATGCAGAAATACTACCTTTATGAATGAAGAATAAAAGTCACCAATGAGATCATAAATTTACTACATTGTTTAATTAGCAATAAAATAATAGAGTCAAAAGGAACTATTATAAGATTCCCCATAGCAAGGGTCTGCTACAACAATTGCTGCAATAACAGCCTCAGTTCTATTATTCCTAGTGACATTTGATCTTTCAACCGTCATATACATTTCTTGATCAGCACCAAACGTAAAAACATTATAAATAGAAGTATTATGCCTTCTTAATCTTTCTAACCTCTTAATCCTATTCTTCTTTGCCTAAATAATATTATCCATAATGTAAACACAAGGAAACAGTAAAAAAATCAACAATATATATGGAGAACTAAAAACAGAAAAATTTAAAACATAAATACAACTCAAGTCTACAAACACAAAAGGCAACGTTAATACATAACCATAATCTAAAAAAACACCAATAAACTTCTAACTCAAAAGAAATAAGACTATTATAATGAAAGAGCAATAAAAAAAGGACTTTAAAATTATTCAATACAATACCTTTAGCAATCCCTGAAAAAATAAATAAATAAATAAAAGAAGAAAAAGAATAATACCAAAATCAATCTACCACCTTAAACATAAAAAAATACAAATGATGTAATCTTAAAACCAACCAACAATACAATGCAAGAATACACGCAATAAAAATTAAAAAGAAAAAGGTTATCTTTCACTAAGAAATTATATTTCATTTTATCAACTTAGCCAACTAATGCATAAAAGAAATAACTTTGCCAATTGTATACATAAATTAAAGTAAATAGCCCCTTAAAGATTAATTTCAAATATGAAAAATAATCATATAAAAAAACTGGAAAATACAATAAAATTTAAAGGGAGAAGAGAAGAAAGATAATTGACCTTATTAGTGGGTGATGACATGAGCTTCTTGATCCTTCTTTCCCTTCCTCAATCAATCCTTTTTAATGTCTTCTCATTTCTTTTTCACCAACTACCCTTTATTTTCAAAGCAATGGCCTCCACCAATTCCCTTCTTTTCAAAGAGAATGATAGTTTCCATCAATTCCTTTTTTTTTTTTTTTCTAAATAGAGGAATAGGTTAAAAAAGTAAAAGAAAATGAGCATAAGTGGATGGTGAACACGCAATGAGCTTTTTTTTTTTTTAACAAAATTTGATATATATGCATAATTTTTTAAATAAATAAATAACCTATTTTTATTTCTTTTCTTCCTAGTCGAATTGACATATAAAGATTTTTTTAAAAATTGAAAGTAAAAAAACTCATCCATCAATTGAAGGTTTAAAGTCAGTATTGTCGATAACAGCCTCAAGCGTGTCTAATATCCGGCATTTGAGCTGCTTGAACAACCTTCAACGAGTCGAATCTAGCAAAGTCATAAATAAAAAATTTTTAAAAATCAAATAACTTTTGGAAAGCTAAAAAATCAAATTCCGCATTAGCATTATCCTAAACAATCTCAAACATGCTAATTCTAAAAAAATTCTATAAAAAAAAGTAAAAAAAAAAATCAAACTTTTGCCATGGTCTGATTCAACAGGCTACATCATTTGTGCCTATTTTCTCCTCATTTTCACTTATGATTTTTTTTTGTCAAACTTCCTTCCTCTTCCTTTTTTTGTCGCAAACCAAATCAATCAAATCCTCTCTATTTTTTTAACTCAAATCTTTTTTATTTTTAGAAAGAGGGGAGAAAATTAGAGAGACAAGAAAGATTTTTAGAGAAAGGTGAGGAATGTGAAAGATAGAAGAAGGATTTTTAGGAAGAGAGAGAAGATGTTTAGATAGAGAGATGAGAAATGAGAGTTTAGAGATGCAAGAGAGAAAAAAAATAAAATAAAATGAGTAAAACATTGAAAAAACATTGTTAAAAGGAAAGAAAGTAATTGGTTAAAGTAAAAAAAAAAAAAAAACACACAAAGAGATGAGAGAAAAGAGATATGTGGATATGTTGGATGATGGTCAAAGGTATGTTTGAAATTAGTAAAATTTATTATCTCCTATTTTTTCCATTTTAATTTCAGTTTTCAAGGCCATTTTAATGAAAAATAAACTAGTAACTTTTTTTGTTCCATTAGCAATCTGCTTTGATGCATAAGTGCAGTAAAAATTTGCCCTCCTTTTTTCACCCTTTCTTTTGAGGGAGTGCATGTACAGAGTGATGTTAAGGACCTTATAGGATGCGGCTGTCTTGACCATAACTAGGTTGTGTTCTATGGTATTTTGTTGCATTTTTTTAATATTCTTGCAAATATTGCCACCAGTGCAGGTTGTTATTCATTGGGCTTCTCAGACAACTTCAACTGAAGGCAATCCAGTGTCAATTGAATGTGTTTCATTTGCACCAAAGTATGTTGATAATGCTTTCCCTCAACTAACCTAATAGTGCATGTTTTTACCTTTTTAAATATAGGAGGCTGTTTTCAGTTTGATCAAATGTCCTAAACCTACTTGAAAAACAAGTGGTTTTGATTTCTAACATGAGAATATTCACCTTATGATTTTAACTAAGCCTGCCAAACAAAGTTCATTGGTGTGGTTTAATAAAAAAAAACTCTTCTCAAAAGAGTTTAACAAGCTCCTTTTTAATAATCTTATGGCTCAAGGGAGTTCACCCTTAAGATTGCCTTGGGTGGGATTAAGTCCTGCCAAACCTTAAAGATACCCCTGATTGTATTATCAAAATAATAAAAATCTTATGGCTTTATGTTGTTTGAATGATTGATTTGACCTTGTGTTAAATTTGTAAATGGTAGCTTCCTCTGGGCTGTTTCTGGTGGCATGGATCGAAACCTTACAATTTGGGATCTATAACACTCATCACAACGTTTCTTATGTAATCATGAGGTTAGTAGATTCGTTTCAAAATGAAACTCAGACTAATAGTTTACTCAATAATTTTTGGCTAAAGGATCAAAAAACCCTCCAACAAAAATTCAATAATCATGCAAGCCCTTATCATTTTACTGTAATCAATTAAACACTCAAACATCTATTTTTATCTGAGCCCTTGTTATATGAAAATTGTTTAACCATCAGCATAAATTTTCGTCTAGTTGAGGGCTCATTTGGGGTGAAAATAGATGTTTAAGAGCTCAATTGATCCGAAATAGAAAATTCAAAACTTGATTGATTGCAATAAAATGTCAAGGGCTTAAATGATTATTAAATTTTTTTTTGACAGCTTTTTTGATCCTTTTGCGATAATTTTTCAATATTAGTTAGCTTCATGGTTAAAGTTAGCCGTGGTGAATTTGGTAAAGTTTAAGGTGTTATGATTTGGTCAAACAAAAAGAGCTTCACCTTTTGAAGGAAGGAGTGACATGCTAAGCTTGGCTTGGAGCATCTAAATTCTTAGCTACAGGGTGTTGTGATGGGATAATATGTATATGGAATTGTCTCTCTGGGGAATGTGTGGAAACCTGGGAATGTGTGGAAACCTTCAAGGGGCATGAACATGCCATCCAATCTCTCTCTAAATCTTCCGATCTGGAGTTTCTTGTATCTGTTTCGATTGATGGCACTGCACGTGTATTTGAAATCAGAAAATTCCGTTAATAAAAGTAAGCCTCCAAGATCCTAATGTGATTACAAACTAGTGTAACTTATTTTCTTATTAGAGTGAGAAGAATTGCTACTAGCATGTTTACCGAAATACAAGATTTTTCACTTTAATTAGTTTTATTCTTGTTCTATACTTGGTGTTGCAGTAAGTAGTCTTTTTAGTGCAGGCCAACTGTAAACATTTAAAATATATATGAACTCAACTTGGCATTAGCATGTATGTGATCGTATCAGAAAAATAGTAATTTCCTCCCCTTATATATATCACTGATTAACTTAAAAACCATGCTGAATTGAGAGGGATGCTATTTGGAGAGATAGTCATATGGGTAAGTCATACATGTAACATGAATAGCTTTGGATTTATCTTTTCCTATCTACATAAAGTTTTTCTGTTTTTGCATCCATATTATTAAGAAATGCACTCTATATATAAGAAACATAATCCAAATGCTTTGCTTTGCCTGGTTCAATAAAACATAAAACCCAATACCATAGACCATTACTGAAAAAGAGTGTGCAAGAGGTCAGTTCTGACCAAATCACTGACAAAAATTATGATAATATATATGAAAGATACAGATAATAAAAACAGCGGGCTCACACGCACCAGGTCAATGGACTAGAGAAAAAAGAAGCTACAAAAAGAGGATCATCAAAAACCAGTAGACAACTGTTTTTAAGTATGCAGCACCTTTAAGAAAGAGTACATGGGTTTATCAATTGCACTCTCCTTAACATCAACCCTCCCCAAACCAATTCAAAGACCTCACCGTCTCTCTGCTCCTTTTGCTGCAAAATCCCACGAGCAATTGTGCAATCATTTGCAGTAGCTTTGGATAAATGATACGGTCTCCTTTTCTATGTAAGCCCTAATCTTTGATTTGATCAACATTATAATTTCGTGGCGGCCTTTTTTATCAAAGTGGATGGTAAGGCACATAGCCCAACAAGCCCGTTATGTTGGTTACAACATCATTGCACCTTGTCAGAAGGCTTAACATCTTCTGTGAAATATCTATGCTTGTTGTTGTACTTGTATTAAGATTGTGAGTATTACTGGGAGCTACTTCGGTGGGATGCAAATTATTTGCTGGGGCTTTACCAAATTGAGGAAGGGGATGAATAGGAGAGGGAGACAAAGATTTTGGAATAACCTTTTGAAAGTTCTTACTATTAAATTCCATTGCAACAGAAGAAGGTGCACCACCGTCAGCAAAACTAGCATTGTTGTTGAAGTTGTTTCTATTACCAGCCATCAATTGCTCTCCCCTACTACTTTCCTCCCCACCCAACATGAATTTTACACGGGCTGTCCCTCTACTTCCATTACCACCAGTTGCCTGCCCTGCCTCGTCAGTTGTTGGTATCTTCAAACAGGACTTGAGCTGGACTGTTGGTTGTGTAAGATGCTGGTGTGCAGGCACTGGTGCTGATCTTTCAACTACAGGATCCTTAACATGTATGGTTTCACTAGCAGCATCATCTCCTCGTGCCTTGTCAGAATCTAATGCTTCAGCTGTAGGAGCTTCCACACTTCGAAGATGGTATCTCACATTCACATTGCCAAATAGGGAATTAGTTCCATTAGCATATCTATATGCTGCCTGTGCATCAATCTTGTGTCTGAACACAACACGGCATGTTGAGGACTTCCAAAACACACGGATAGCTGACTGATCTAATGACCCAAAACGACCAAACCTAGCCTTCAGTTCTGCAACTGACGGAAGTGATACCTGAGGAGGGAACTTCATAACCAGCATTGTAGGCTCAATAGCCCTAGCTGGAGGCTCCATCTTCCTCGCAGAATCTGGTTTATTGAATGGCCTTGCTGGGGGCCTTTTAGTTGTTTGTTCTTTTCCGTCAACCTTTGGAGCTTCCACAGTCCTCAGATTACCCTTCTTCTCTACAGCTAATGACGTCAACTGCCTACTTTTTTTCAACCTCTTTGCAGCAATTTCTTCTTGACGATCCGATGGGAGATGTTTTCGTCCAGCTTTAGTTGGATCATCAGGTCTTACAAGGGGTCTCACTGGTTTTGAAGGAGTGGAGTTAACACTCTCAGTAGGAAAGTTGTCAGCCGCTCCAACCGAAGGAGGTTTACTGGCACAAACTTCAACAGGCTCCTTCTCACATGGTGGCAACAGAACCAAGCTTTTCTGGTAAACAAGTGATCGGAATCGCAAAAAGAATTGCCGAATAACCGTTGGGCTATTCCTTTCCACACCATGAAAAGGATCAAGTGCCAGGGCATGCAAATCACTCAGTAAATGTGCAAGTTGAAGCCCAGGATTTCCCATATCAAATCTCGTGGAAGCCCCAACAGAATTGAAAGAAGAATGTGTAGGACCAACATCTTTCTTCTGATGGTTCACTTGAGACTCTTCTCTAGGACCCGAACCAATTTGGGCAGATTTGGCCCCATCATTTTCAAGGACAAACGGCTTCTTTGGTTTATCAGAGTTTGATTCTGAGCCAACCTCTTTCTTCTTCTTTTTCTTCTTTTTCTCCCTTAAAGCAGAGTTCTCAGCACCTATATCCACTGAAGGGAGTTTTTTTGCTTTCTTCACCTCACTCTCAGCACTCATATCACTAGAGCGCTTTTTATCAACCGGGACAGCATGCCCACCAATGCTACCATCTCGAACTTGATCTAATCCCTGACCTCCTTCCAGTTTTGCAACAGAACCCAGATCAGGTTTCCAAACTCCTTTGTACGATCTGGACACTTTTTCACCCTCCTCAGGTTTAAGGTCAAACATAGCATCACCTTCCCACTGAAAAGATGCTGATGCACCATCAATTTTATTCAAAGATGGCTTTCCATCTACAGCAACATTGTAGGCTGAAGTCTGGTTTACATGTACAACTTCACTGGCAGATAAATCTCCACAGGAACTTGCACCATCCTTGCTCATAAAGACAGTATGCTCTCGTTTTAAGGGAATCTGAGACACAGGAGCCCTATTCTGCAACACATAATCTCCAGCTAAAAATATTGGTGATCCCTCCATGTAAGATGATTGCATTGATGAACTAGATAGCACTTGGCTAATTTGACAGGGGGCTTGCAAGTCACTTGCTTCATCTTTTCGCTTGAATAGGTATCTGTTTTTCTTTGAATGGTCCTTAACTTTCATGGGCTTTTTAGAACTCTTTCCACCACCCAAAGCTTCAGCAATCACCAATGGACCACTCAAAGGAGCTGGAAATGGCAACAAAGAAGGAAACAATCTCATAAGAATAGAGACATGACAGTAATAACCAAGAGGAATGCATGCAAATATCATCATCCGATAGCTGGATCTAGAGGATGTGAAGAGTCATCTATCCTTTCACTGTTAAATAATAGTCAATAGATGTATAAAACATAAAGTACTACAAACTTATACATAACTTTTTGGTTCGTTTGCAGTTGTTCATTAACAAGATACAAACTGACAAAAGACCTTCATAGGTACAGCGTTAAAAAGAGACATAAACACCAATCACAAGGCTAAAAATCCAAAGACAAGTTCTCGCAGTGTCAAGATCATAAAGTTGACCCATATTTTACCATTCACATGGAAACCTCATACTAGTGTCATTATTATGTCCTAACGTGACCCTTTCAATAAAGAGTAGTAAAGACCATTTCCATAAAAAGTCAATGTAAAAGAAGAAATATTTTGATGAAAATCATCTTTACTACAGTTAAAGACAGTTTTTGAGAGATCACAATTATTAAACCAACTCATTTCATGATTGTATCAAGAAACATATAAAAGAAATCATACTTGCCCAAAATCTGCATGTATTGAATATTGCTAGTAATGCAATATACTTGTTAGAAACTTACATCTGACTATAACCATGCATCATTCAATCAAAAAAAAAAAGTGACATCAAAATACATACTTTAAAAATTCAAAAGTAAGCTCTAAAAGCCAAGAAGTTAGATGCAACAGAATACCAGCTTTAACCATGTGAGACTTGTAACTGTTTTGGCCTAAAGTATCATGAGTGCAGCAGTACTACGTTCAAAACCCACACCACATTTGAAATTTAAAGTAACACCATGGAAGACAGAACAGATATAGAATTTCATGAAATGCAGATCCGAAATAGCTTCCAAGAATCACCATTAAGGCAAGTAGACAAGTACCTCGAGACGTCTTCTTAACAGGCTGATTGGGTATGCCACCTGGAGCATTAGAAGGTCGTGCTGGCTGCACCCCAAATGCCTGTGCATATGTCTCATCAAACTCCTCAAACACAGCCTTCCGAAATGAAAAAATGGTAGCCTTATTCTTAAAAAACTCAATGCTTTGCTGGTCATAAGCTCCAGGTGCTGATGCCAATTGCTTCACAAATGAAAGGGTCTCACTGGGCTTAAAACTACTTCTTGCATGCCTAATCTGATTCACTGAATAAACCCCATTGGGTTCATAATCAGGCACATCAACTGCAAAGTACCCTTGGACGTTTGTGGGCCGCAAATTATATGGATTCCTACATTTACAAGTCAAACCAAGACCAAGCCTCCGACTAGCCTCATCCATTGCCTCTTCCACAGCCTTCACAAAAGTCCTTGAATTTGTCTGCTGTGATTTCTCCACAAAATGATGATCAAAAGGGATAAGCTCAGCCGGGTCGAACCATCCATAACTACTATCCCCAAAGAAAGCAACCAACACATGTCCTTCCCTCCTTGTGCGACGTACACAAGGAGATGCAAAAGCTTCATTAAATATATGCCCCGGCCACCACGGATGAGATTTCACCTTTCCCCAAACCATATCACCCACTTCAAACCCATAACTCAACGCCCTCGAAGTCCCTCCACCAATTCTATCATTGGCTACATAATCGTCAAACTCAGATAACAACGACTTATACTCGGAACCAGTATCCTTTTCCAACTCCTCCACATTTTCTACTCTACCGTGCTCATCATCATTTACCATATCATTTTGTTCATCCACCCGATTATTTACATCAAAAACCGTAGATTCGCCACCTCTTCCTTTATCTATACTATCACCATTACTCTCCCCAATCTCCTCAGATCTCTCATTCCCTGAAACCCTAACATCTTTTGAATCGAGCTCCATCGCAGAAACCCTAGTTTCTTCATTGGAGGTTCCTAAGCTCAATCTATTCGCTTCATTTGCGCTATCAATAGCATCATTGCTAGAAACCCTAGCTTTCTCTTCGATTTTATCGGATATTTTATCGAATTTGGCATCGTTGTTCACAACAGATATCATTTTTTAATAGCTATAGAAAAACATATTAGCAAAGTCGAAACCCTGGAGAATCCGAGAGCTTTTTCGAGAGCTTAAATGAGACATATGTAACTGAAAAAGCATACCTTTGCTAAACGAAGGGATTACAAAGGCTGTGTTTGTTTCCCTGGAAAGTGAGAGAAATCGGAGAGATATTTCTTTGGATAATTATAATATTTACAAACAAAATAGGACAGGAATAATAAAACCCTAAAAGAATAAGGGGTGTTTGGATGGGAAAAAAATCTGGGGACTTTGCGATTTTCTCTTCTGTTTTTTTTTTTTTTTTTCTTTCACTTTTTTAAGTTCGGAGACAATTACCGCTCGTTGCTTCCAAAGCTGAGATATTATAAGACACATCGGCGGTGTAGTAATGGCTCAGTGCAAATCAGTCATCAAACATTGCCACGCCATCCGATTGAGCTTGTTGGTTGATACACGATGGATAAGCATAATAGTATAAAAATTCCACCTCATCAATTTCGTATGTGGCAGCTGACACCACATGTGAGACACGTGATACTAATTTTTGTTTTGGACGTGATACTAATTGATTTTTAACGTTTGAATTAACACATATGATTTTTAAAAATACGGGGACAAAATGACACGAAACTCAAAATTCAAAGATTGTGGGTGTTATTTATTTTTGTTGAAAAGATATTTAAAATTAGAAGCATAAGAGTTATATTATTTTAAAAAAGATTAATGTTATAAATAGTTTTTAAATTATTATTAAATATTTAATTTAATATTTAAAAGTTAAAAATTTTTAATAGATATTAAATTATAAATATATTAATTAATATAATATTCATTCTTAATGTGTTAATTTCAAATAATAACATAAGAAATAAATAATCTCACAAATACTATATTAATTAATAAATTTATAATTTAAATATTTAAAAATTTATAAAATTTAAATAAATTATTAAACATTTCACTATAATTCATTTATAATATTATCCCTTCTTGAAATAGCACCTCCTCTCTAGTCACGCACCACCATTTCTAAAACATTTTGTCGTTCTCTCATATTAAATATAGTTATATTATAATTAAAATATTTATAATCTTTTAAATTAAGCCCTTAAGTATTAATTAAAAATATAAAAAGTCTGCTTAAAATTGCTTAAATTGTTGTAGTCTTGTTAATTCATAAAAAGTTACAATTTTTACCTTTAAAATAAAGGAATGGAAATTAGTAGTATCTATAACTATAATAGAAAATAGTCTTCAAATTGAAACTATTCATCAACTGATAGTAGGAGTCTTAATTTTGCACTATGTGTTGTGCAATAATTGAATCTTCAATATTTTTTATTTTTTAATTAAGCGTAAAAAAGAAAAGAGGGAAAGGGATTGATAAGAAAACTTTTAAGAAAGATAAAATAGAAGAAAAAGAAAAAATGGTTGAGCTTGGAATAGATTTAGGAGAGAAAGGAGTTGAAAATAAAAAGGATTGATGGAAAATTGAAAGCAGATAGAAGGGTCGAATGGGTGAGAGATAGAACAAGTAGCAAGTAAGGGAAATAGGGAGAGATTTGGAAAGTGAAAGAGGAAGAAAAGGTGAGGGAAGGAGGAAGAGGTAATTTGATTGTCACTAAATGGAACCCCATTCACTCGAGCTAAGTTGTTATAGATACTTAATTTTATCTAGACACATTCTAACTAGTTGTAATACTTTTAAGATCAGGCCCAGTTCATATCCAATATCTCTTTGAGATTTATGAATTTTTAAAATTGAATTTTGGTTTAAGATGACCAAAATACCTCATAGTCAAATAAGGTTAAACTTGATCAAATTTGATTAAACTTAGGTCAACCTTTGAAATTCACAATTGAATGAGACCATTAAGACTTGAGATTAATAAAATTACAATTTGAATTCTTAAGAATCTTGATTAGACCTCATAAGAGTAAAATTATCAAAATACCATTTAGGTTATTTTCATAATTTGACAATCTCAAGGTCAGTTTTTCACAAAAAGCTCTAGATCAAGCCTTAATACTATTCCATGAATTTTGATACATTAAAAACATTGGTTGCATCTTCAAAAAAGTGAAATTATCAAAATGCCTTTTAAGGGTATTTTCATAATTTGACCTTATTGAGGTTGAGTTTTCATGAAAAGGTTTAGTTCATATTTTAATATTATTTCATAAATTTTAATGTATTGAAAACTTGATTACATCTCCAAAAGGTTAAAATTTTCAAAATACTCTTTAGGGGTATTTTCATAATTTGATCATCTTGAGGTTATATTTTCACAAAAAACTCCAAATCGAACCTTAATACTATCATAGGAATTTTGATGTATTAATAACCTTAATTGCACTTTAAGAATGGTACAATTATCAAAAAGCCTTTTAAGAGTAATTTCGTAATTTAACCTTCTCAATGTTAGTTTTTCATGAAAAGCTCTAAACCATACTTTTTATATTATTCCATGAATTTTGATGCATTAAAAATTTTAATTGCACCTCAAAAAAAGTAAAATTATCAAAATGCCCTTTTAGGTATTTTTGTAATTTAGTCTTGTCGAGGTCATTTTTCATGAAAAACTCTAGATCATAATAAGGCATTATTTTATAATTCTTAATCCATTAAAATTATGAAAATAAATATTAGATTATAAGATTTTAGGAAAATCATGAAAAAACTTAGAAAACACTAAAATGGGTAAAATGATCTTTTCTTATTAGAAGAACTGCACTATAGGCCTAATGGATGCCATATTTTTCAGAACCATTGATATTAAAAGGTTGACATCCTAGTTTCAAGATTGCTTTCCTTAGTTACCAAGCTTAGGAGAAAAAGACAAAATAACTACAATCCTTAAATAAAATTGATCTAAGGGCTAACAAAAGGGGTCTTGGCCTTTAAACATATCATATAGGGCTGAAAAAATAAGGGAGGTAGCAAGAAAAATGGCATGTAAACCAAGAAAAAAAAAGGAATAGTAAAAAATTTTGGAAGAACTTGGAAGGTATAACCTTGCTTTACTTTCATGCGTTTTTTATACAAGCTCTCATATTATTCATGTGATTTTTCTTTTATCTTTATGATTTTTCAAGGAGAGGCAACCTTTTTCCATGGTTGTTCTCTTTTACATTTTCTCTTGATTCAATAGCTTTGTCCAACCAAGCTAATGGTATGGTTTGAAGCAACAAAGAATAAAAAAGCAATAAAACCCAAGTGTGGAGTTCATGGCAAAGATTTTCCATGCCATGGCTGAAACTCCCTTTACCATTTCTTGTGATTTACTTGTTTGGTTTTCATGTATTATAATGTGTTTGTGATGTTGGAGATTGTTATGTTCATATTTGTTTACTATTTTAATGTTATATGTTTCTTGGTTGACGATGAAATGTTTTGTTGGTATTTTTCTTTTTGATAGTTCCTCAAATGTTTGATGAAAATCTTTGAAAATAAGAAAGGTTTTCCAAGTTAGTTTTTCAAGTATTTGAAGTATGCCTTAGCAAAAAAAAAAAGTGCATGATTGTGGAAAAGCCAAAGAAGGCTTTCGACCTAACCATTTCTTGGTATGGCCAAAACTCCCATATTGCTTTGATGGCTAAATATTAGTGTTAAAATGCGTTCTTGTTTTGGTTTTTTTTTTTTATAACATTTCATGTTTTTCAATAGCTTGATGAAAATTCCCAAAAATAAAAATGATATTTAAGTGAATTTTTAGTGGTTTTACATTTTGTTTTCTAAGTGTTTGTCATAAATCCTAACATTGGTACATTGCTTTTGTTCAATGGCCAACATAGAAATTCCTCCCTTTGATTCCTTGTTACTTATTTTTGCTTCTTAAGTTTATACATGTGTGGTTAGTTTATTAAATGTTTGTGAAATTGTATTAGCCATATAATTGTATGGTATTCTAATTTTATGCATAATTTGCATTTAAATTATTTATCATGTGCATTTTTCATGTAATATTAGCATAATCATCAAACCCTAAATAAATTTCAAAACCGTGATTTTGTGGCTTACTCCAAAAGTTCGCCTAAATATTGAAGATTTTTAAAAAGGTTCATGAAAATCATGGTCAACCCTAAACCAAACTCCAAAACCCTAAAAGCTAACCCTAGATCCATTCTCATGCATTTGCATTTCATTTCAATAAATTTTTACATGCATTAACATTCTTGAGTTGTCACTTTCACCCATGTATTTGTATTTGTCATTCACACTTTAATTGTCATTCGTATATTATAATTTGTTATACTCATACATTTCATTCACGTGTTTTGAAAACAATGTTTATTTAAAAAAAATGTTTTTAGAAAAGAATAAAATTAAGTGATATTTTAAGTAAAAATAATTCTTGAAGCTGGTCTAAATATAGAGAGATTCTCAATAATTATCATTTATGAGAAAGATTATCTTGGTTTTATGGGACATTATGAAAGCAATATTTTTGGAATTTCATCTAAATATAAAGGAATGCAAAAAATGTTTCAATACTAAGAATTTTTCATCCTAATTCAAAATAATTAAATTTGTTTAAGAAATTCAAAAATAAAATGGTTATGTTATCAAATTTTAAAATGATTTGATATGAAGAAAAATATTTTGGAAAGAATAAATGAAATTCAATGAATTAATTTTTAAACATTAAAGTTAGGACCATTCTTATTAAAGCTCAAGGATAACATGCAATCAATTGATACAGATTTTAACAGGCATTATTAGGTGCTAATCTTTTTCTATGCGTAATCGACTCTCAAACCCAACACTATTGTCGTAAACCAAAATATTTTTTTAATAAACTTTAAACTCGTTTTATTATTTTATTAAAAAAGATAAATTTTCAGATTGCCAATCACATCTTTAAAAAAGATTAGTGTGACTCATTTGGTTTTGAAATTTTTTTTAAATTTTCGTTTAACGGTCTCTAAAACTATTATGATAATCGATGAAGTCAAGTATATTACAAAATAATTGTTCTCTTATTTTTGTAATATGGGTTCTTATTCGGATTTTGAAATTATTGAAATTTAATGACTTCCTCTTACATATTTCGTAATTCAATACATTATTGATAGATTATTAATTAGATATGATTTTTCCCTAAGGTCGGTAACTTAAGTAGTCTCTAGTGAGTTTCAACCAAACCCAACCTCATAGGGTCGATTTTTTTTTTTTTTTAAATCGGGTTTTGGGTCAGGTATGGCTAAGAAAAAATCGGAGTCGAGTCAGGTTTGGGTTTTAGGCAAACTCGACCCGACCTGACCCAGTAATATATAAAAATTTAATTTTTAATTAATTAATTAATTAAT